CCGCACGCTCGACCCGCAACGCTCTGCAATCACACAACATATATTACTACCTGGTGCTCGCTAAAAGAATAGCCTATGTTACGCACAAAATTACCTTTCTAACGGTGAGAGTTCTTAAAATTGGCTAAATAGGTTTTGAGGTATTTCAAAATATGCAAAAATACAAACCTTTCCTCTTTATAAAATAAATTTTTAATGCCGCCGTCCAGAAACACGCTGTTTATTAATAGTTCCTAAACATTAGTAATAATAAAATATAGCCTATGTTACTCATAGATAAATTACCTTTCTAAAAGTGAAAGAATTTTTAAAATCAGTCCAGTGGTTTTTGAGTTATTTCAATACATACAAAAATACAAAGTTTTCCTCTTTATAATATTAGTATAGATTAGGATAGAAATATAAACTAAAATACCATGTATAATTATTTTCGTTAAAACTGATATTGCATATGAAAATACGAAGACGTTATTGTAAGTTCCACTCGAATATTAATGAACATGAGCAACACCATCGGCTCGGCCTAGGGTTAGCCCTAGCCTAGATCATTACCATAAACCATAGATTTAGGTGTAGCATTCATATGGGCGAAGTATCTATTTTACATTTGTCATTATAGGAGGTAGGGGGAGCTATCCCTTCCAGCAGGCAGCTATTGTAATAGTGTATCCTCACCATCGGATGTGTCCATGAGTGCGGCGATGGGCGCGCCGCAGGAGACGGCGAGGTCTGACAGCAGCTCCGCTAGCATCAGCACGAAGTTCAGCTGCGAGAACACCTTGCTGTGCTCCTCCTGCAACACAACAACCACGTGTAGTATTATACACATTTTATGACAGCTCACAATTTCGAATGAGATAAAGAGTGTCATACGATTTTAAGCCAAGCTTAAACCCTAAATTCCTTTAACATTTTGACACTTTTCATATTGTAAACGGTTTCTTTGAAGCGACAAATCGCTTTATTGAGATTCAATATTCAGCCGTTAGTTTTATAGTGTAGTTAAAGTGTTTCCCGTTGAGAATATACCCATTGGGTCGATTGAACTAATGGTAGATAGGCTGTNNNNCCGCGGAAATCCGCCGTCTTCAATTTCAGGAAACATTGCCTTGTTCATTACAACAATACGAACTCTTCCTACAAATAACTAATTAGATAGCAGTGAATGGTGCAAACGAAGGAATAATAATAAAGATACTAGCCTTGTTTAACCGATTTCGTACAGACATATTTATAAGCGTCGTGTTTTTGTTCCGAGTCTCGTTTTAAAATGTTCAAAGCATTGTTAGGTTTGATTGTGGAGCACGGTCAGTTTGTCTGTGTACGTACGGCGAGTATGGTGTCCTCCTGCAGGTTGGGTATGTAGACGGGCGGGTCCTGGTGCAGCTTGAGGCCGCGCAGCAGCGCCTCGGGCAGCGCGCCGCGCTTCGGCGACGCCGCCTCGCCGCTCGCCTTCAGCGCCAGCGACACCGGCGGGGACGAGCCTGCGCTCACACATACTCACACATCATAATCCATACTAATATAAATGTGATAGTTTAGATGGATGGATGGATGTTTGTTAAAGTTTCTAACCTAAACAACTAAACGGATTTCGATGAAATTTAGTATAGATTTAGAGGATAGTCTGGAAGAACACAAAGGCTACTCACTTTTGTTTTTTTTTTTTAATTTCACGGAACGGTGTTGCGGGAATAAGCTAGTTTATAAACATTAAGGAAAATTACTAATCCCAATTTATTTATAATGTAGCTACCTTTCGCACGCGACTCCATTTGCGTGGAATTAAAAAAAAAACAACAAATCAAGTACACTAGACTATTGTACACCTATACTTAATTGCATCAAAATTCGTTCAGCCGGTTAGGTTAGGTTAGATTACAAACTTTAACAAACATTTATCTATCCATCTATACTTTTGCATTTATAACATTAGTAAGACACATAAACTAGTTTTTGCTCGCGACTTCGCGCGGAATTGTAAATAATATTTTAGAACGATCAATTAGTTTTTGAGTTTATTCTTTACACATAAAAGTACAAATGTTCTTTCTTTATAACATTAGTGTAGAGTTCTGTACCGGATCTGCGCAGCGGGCTGGCGTTGGTGGGCGAGACCTGCCACAGCGAGGGCGGCGGCGAGCTGCCGGACGCGCTGCGCCGCCGCGTCGACGGCGGAGTGCCCATCGTGAACGGCACCTGCAACACATTGCCATATGCATTTCAAATTATAGGAAACTAGCTTTCGCCCGCGACTCCGTCCACTTGGTAATCAAAAAAACAAAACCAAATAGCCTATGTGTTCTTTCAGACTATTCTCTACATCTATGCCAAATTTCTTAGAGATCCTGTCAGCAACTTAGGCTACAAACTCTAACTAACATCTGTCCATACATCTAAACTTTAACATTTATAATAATAGTATGAATGTATGATTCATTCCGATTAACAATTGAATGCATTATTTTACCTAATTAGCAAAAATATATACCAGATTTTTTTTAATCCATACAATATATCAAACGAAGTAAAATTATCTGATCACTAGCTGTTGCACGCGACTACATCCGCGTGTAATTAAAAAAATATAGCCAGATAAATTAGCTTTCTAATAATGAAAGAATTATTAATATCGGCCCAGTAGTTTCTGAATTATTTCGTAACATACAAAAATACAAATCTTTCCTCTTAGTATAGATAAGGATGACGATCAACAGTGTAGTGTTGTAACTTACGGATGGCGGTGAGAGTGAGCCGATGTTGGTCGTATTTCGGTTATTGTTCGATCGCAACACGTCGATGGGCTGCGAGCGCGGCACCTTCGACGCTACCGTCATAGGGTTCTGCAATACATACATTCAATATCTTCAATTACATGCTATTTAAAATATATCAAACATGAAGTGTTATAGTTGACTCATTATCATAAAGTTAATAAATTAGCCTCAATATACAATGTTTATTTTTATGTAAGGATGTTAACACCGACGTACCAACGATTACAAGTGATAAGTGAAAACAGGCTTTCATAAACAGGTTATTTTCGTCAAAGAATACATGTATACATTAACAATAAACAACAAGCTGAAATGTTACAGTTTTTCACACTTTTAATAATATTTTTCTTTCAGTAACATTAGTTAACTAGTAATTCAGTAATCAACAAAACTTTGTTGAGCTGACGGCCAACTTACTTTAAAAGAGAGAGAAAGAGAGAGAGAGTCAACTTTCGACAACAATCAGTATTGCTACTCTTTTTCACGCCCTTATTATGCTGGTGGGATTGACGTCATAATTAATACTCACGCGTAGCGGTGCTGGCTGGTCTGGCGGGGAGTGC